CCCCCCCCCCCCCCCCCCCCCCCCCCGCCCGGTACGCCTATGGGAATCGCAGGGTCGCAGGTTCGATTCCTGCTAGAGGGCCTATAGTTGCAGTTTTTCGAAACTGCTTCTGGTTAGGTCGAAAGATGTACAAAATTTCCACTGGAAATTTCATCTTCGAGAACCCTTCAACATACAGTTGTATCAAGTGAGTTGCCTAAAATCCTGTTTTCTACTAGCTTATAGCTACCTTTTCTATTTTCATACGTTTGTGTTTAAGATTTTGGCTTTATGTTTGAATCATCTCCTGGTGGTAACCTTGGGTTTGAACCAGATATGAAGTTAACTCATGAAATGGTTTTGATTATGGGAGGAACTATGGAGTCTCATTCTTTCAGGTATACTCATTGTTTTTGTCTGCAGTGAACTCTATGTCAATATCTCAACGTACATTATTTTTCTATATCGTGTATACAAACGACTGTGTTGTTTTCTGCCCTAAGAATTTTACGTTTTGGTTATTCTTAGATGGTTCATGGAACTTTGTGTGAGAGCATACCTTGCAGTGAGGTAAGTGTCATTTTTCAGTGTTTTCTAATGGCGTATGCAGCAGTGTTTTCTAATGCAGTGTTTTCTAATGGCGTATGACATCATATGTTGATGTGCTTAAAGGTAAATGGCGATAAAATTTAGTTTGTCCCATTTGAAAGAACTTTTGAAATTATCTCTGAAGACCTTTACAACTTAGCGTGTTTCCTTTTTCAAAATATTTCGACCATAAAACAGCGTGGTTCTTGTTTCAACTTTCAACCACATATCATTAATAGCTTACAACTCTATTTTGGGGGCACAACATATAAAAAACTCCCTTTGAAATGCAGTTACTCTCATAGTAGTGTTAACAAGTTTACCCCTATTCTGACGTCACCAAACACCCAGCGAATTAGGTAAAATATAAAAAACAAAATGGTGGACTACATACAGTCTCTGGTGAAAATATCACTAAAACCAAGTAGGATAGAAAAGGATTGTGAACGACCTTGATGCATAATTTTTAAAGTTATTTAAAATGAGACAAACTTAATTTGTGTTGCCATCTCACTTTAAGCGTTTACTTCTACAGTTGTTTAGCTACTAAACATTGTGAATTTAAAAAAGGAACAAGTCTCATCCAATAACCTAAGTAGTAAAAATGTATTCTTTTCATTGCGTAGTCAAAAGCGATATATAGATTAGGGGAAAAGTGGGTCGAAGTTTCTTGTTAATTTTAAGACAAAACACCTTTAGTAGAGCAACTTCTTTTGTGAGGAAATTTTCATGATTCAAAATACGATAGTGCCTTCATACACTCTTGTTGAAGATCATAGCCTAAGGAGTATTTTTGAATATATTTGTTTTTGTTTTCAGACCATACCAAGAAGAAATCGTAGCTTTGGTGGCATTGATGCTTGATACTGGATTACCATGTTTTAGAGGGGAAACATTGAAAAGATTAAGGTAAAGATTGCATGTAGGTAGATTGACGTAAGGCAAGCGATGGTATTAATGCAATGAGAAATGCCCATCGGAGGAAACGCATAATTTTCATAGTATATAGTATATTGGCAGAGATTGGCATAGTATATAGTATATTGGCAGAGATTGGCATAGTATATATAGTATATTGGCAGAGATTGGCATAGTATATAATATATTGGCAGAGATTGGCAGTATATAATATATTGGCAGAGATTGGCATAGTATATAATATATTGGCAGAGATTGGCATTGCCGTATATAGTATATTGGCAGAGATTGGCATAGTATATAATATATTGGCAGAGATTGGCATAGTATATAATATATTGGCAGAGATTGGCATAGTATATATAGGCAGAGATTCGACTGGCAAAACATTGTGCTGACAAAAGGTCAGCAAGTATATCAGGGTTTTCATAATACAATCGCGCGATAAAAACATGCATTTTCCCTCTAATATTCCTTCTTTTTCGCTTTATATATAACTTTCGTAAGACGTTTGGACGGATATATAAAGTTCAGATATTGCACTTTCCCCTGCACACACTACACAGTGGATTTGGGGAAAAAACCTGTACTTTTGGCATTGAAGTTGCATGTTTTCGTCGCCGTCTATTACAGAAATACCGTCGAGACGCCCGCAAGATGCCTTTGAAGCGCTTGAACACCATTTTGCCATGCGCAATGATAAAAAGTTCGCGCGGATTCAAAAAGCATGGGTTCTTGTGATTATTTTGATAGGTGAATTGTTAATTTTGGCGCAATATTTGTTGACTTTGTTCTGTACTTTGGTTGAAAATTTTAACTGTATGCGCAAATAACCAAATGACTTCTAGTACAGCATTTGTATGGCATTGGATGCTTGCAAGCCGATTCATTTTAGTGTTTGTACTTTCTGGGATAAGTGGGATTGATGCGGCAAATGAATGGGAACTAAAGATGATCAACAGCGAAAGAGCGATAGAAATAATCGCTCGTCTGGAAATCCGTTCTTCGTAGTGGAAATAAACAAGTATTAAGGTTATTTGAGTTGTTCTTTGCATTTAATAGTTTGCATATTTTATACTGTACCAATACCATGGTTTACATGCTATTACTACATTATTTAGAACAATGGCAATGCGCACAGAAATATTTTTAAATTTTGAAATAAAGAATTGTTGGATTATAAATTTCTTTTCAGCCGATTAATGGACGATATGTTTAAGGCCACCTTAATTAAAGACGCATAAGGTGATAAGGATATAAAAGGCGCTTATACATACAAGGCTTAGGCTGTCGTACTTGACCTGAACAAGTGTTCCGTCACTATAATATGTTGGAACAGTCATTATCAATGAGAGCTAGGATAGTTAGCGCGTTCTAAGGGCACTCCATCCTCTACAACTTTGTAGAATCCTTCCTCCGGTTGAAGTCCCTTCCTTTCGGCCGCCATATTAACAGTATTGTTATGACGCTCAAATGAAATATGAAACCAAGAAACTGACAAAAATAGCAACTACGCATGCGTAAGTTCAAAGACAGTTTGATCATCTGATTATCAATTTCCCATTTGTAATACAAAATGACTGAAAAACGGCAAACTTCGCAAGGCTATATTATCCGCATTTTACAACATTTCGCAACGAAACTTCGGAATATTACTAATTTTGTGATGCTCTTTCAAGCTGTGATGAAATTTTTGTCCAGGCATATCTAGATCAAAATTTCACTCATAAGGGAAAGGTCTATTGCGTAACTTGGCAGAGAGTGACGTCTTAATTAACAATAAAAATTATGATATATATCACAACCCTACGCCTAACCCTATTATGCGCGAAGCATTAAGATATAACCCGTCAAAAAAGTTTTAAGTTTATCCACACTATTTATGACATGAGCGGTTCTGTTGCATTGTAGGGCCGTCGGAAGCTTGGCGGGGGGGGGGGGATGACCCACGGGTTACTCATGAGGATTACATTTCTTTCTTCAGTTTCTTGCACAGGCAATAACAATCAATTTATCCGTAACAGTTCGTTGTTACATTGATATTTTGTATATGTCATAGGAACAAAACCAATTCGTTCATGCTCTGTATGTAATCATATACGGAGCAAACATTGTTTTAAAAATTGGGGGGGGGGGTTGAAGTTGTAAAAAGAGTTAGTCTAAGTACTAGTTAAAACATGAGCAGCCAATCTTTATCTGATATACAAACTCGAGCTGAAGTTGTTGTTTTAACGTGCTTAAAAAAACGACCCATCTTATGAGTTCATTAGCGAAGTTTTAAAATAAACATTGTCTAAACCGAGCAAATCAAACACAAAGTTGAAGTTTATGTAAATCAGGACAAATCTTTATTCGATTTGCAAATATTGATTAAACATATTCATTTCTTTTGAATTTTCTTCTTATAGTAGTTGAATATTGTGAATGAATTGTTGTCGTAAGGATATATTTACCATGTCTATGAGAAATGAGCCCCCATGCATATATGATTTTTAAACTGATTATATGATGCTCCCATTATGCTTTGCACGCTTAGAATTAAGGTTGAGTGTTTAATTTAAATTAAGGTTTGCAAAGGAAAACTTTTTTTGAATTAGCTGTGTACACATACATATCATCAACTTTGTTAAACACGGTAAATCATCAGTTTTCTTTAGTCATACTTTATTTCTTACATACAATTCCGACGCAGAAATCCAAACATGCGGTTTGCTTTATATATAGTTGAATAAAACGTTATAATGAATGCAAGGTTATAATAGTCAATAATTATCTTGCTATAGTACAATATATAGTTAACGTATCAGTTGAAATAATACGATATTTGTATTAACTATGTGAATGTTTTCAATGTTCAAATGCCACTCGTCTTTCCAATACAGCAAAATGCTCTAATACAGCCGCGACAAAATGGAATTCAGGATAACACAGGCCTCTTTTCTTAGCAATGTTTTGTTCCAGAAAAATATCATTGAATTCAAACTTGAATTTAAACCATACAAGGTCACTCCCCAGTTAAAAAACTCTGCGCGGTACTGTGCGCTTTCATTTCCCCAAAAGAATTGGACCTATTGCAGACGGCAGCAAACATATAGCAAAACAGAGCACAGCAATGAAACAAGTCTTTGCATGCTTGATTTCCCTGAGAACGCGTCTTTTTACACTATGTTTTTGCGCAATGTCAACAGGCCGTTGTTTGGCGTGGTCTAACTTTCTTACGACAAAGTGGATTCTCGTGTACGTAAACACAGTAAAGAAAAATGCATTAGTATTATTATTGGAAAATAGAGTTTTAACAAACTCGAAGTGAAAATGGATGAAATAGTGCTTGTGAGCTCAATGAAGCCAAGTACACCTACATAGGTTAGAATCCGTCCTTTTGTGACATGCGTTTTGTAGGAATACGGGTGTAACACAGCAATGTACCTTTCCAATGTCACGGCGAATAATGTAACAGTTGATAGCGACAAGGTCGTGAGTAGACATTGGATTAAAATCACAATAGCAAGGCAGTTTTTAATGGCTAACAACGGCGCGGTTAGAAAGACAATGAACAGAGGCATGCCGAAAATACCAACAACAAAATCAACGACAGATTGTACTAGGATTACGAAGTAGCAGATTTTGTTCTTCAGCTGAGATGACTTTCTGATGGTTATCACCGAGAGTAATAAGTTGAGGAATATCGTCGACAACATTAGAATAGCATTGAAAGCGATCACTGGAATCCGGTGTCCCAAATCCGTGCTGTTGACAACAGATGGGAGATTTTTGCACAACGTCAGGGCACGTATTGTTGATTTCAATCGAGCGAACCATGTTTCAGTTATGTCGTCTTGCAAATTAATGCAAAAGTTGCGCATGCATGTACGTCCTTTATCCAATTTTTGATCATTAGCATATAAAATTGTTCTCATTATTTTACCGTCTCATTATTTTACCGTCTCATTATTTTACCGTTTAACTCTATCTCAAAAAATGACACATTTTAATAAGAAATCTAATGGGCGCAGGACCGATCTAGTCGCATTTTTCGCAGCTGCTCCTGGTTAGATCTGAAAATTCCATATAATCTTCCGCGAGAAATTTCCATATACAAAAACCGTCCAACTTTTATGTTCTTTTATGTTAGATCTCTAGTAACACATGGTCGATAGGAGATGACCCTTACTGGAATTCTAAAGGGAGAACAGTTTTAATTTAATTTAATTTAGATCTGATAGCTCCATGACCATACAGAAAAATAAAGTTAGCATAGGTTTCTTCTTGTAGTAACATCAATAAGAGAGGAAGAACAGTTTAGAACTGATAGAGCTATCCAGTATCAATAAAATTATAGTTTAGTTTGGGTTTCCTCCTGTAGTAACACTGGATCATTACGGAATATTGATTCTCCACGAAGGACTGTTTTGAACTCATGATAGAGCACGATGACTTTAAAAATATCAAACGTATTAATACAAAATTTTGTGCAGCCTCGTTCCCAGCTCTTTCCTCTTAATGGACATTGCCCAAGGAAAAAATTATTAAATTTGGATGAAAATTAGATTATGAAAATTTAGCAAAAGTTTGTCTTTCTTTACCGGGCAGAGTAAACAGAATCGTAATGAGCCTATTGTATAATTTATGCATGATACTGAAAAGTTTGAGCAAACGCCAGTATCGTTTTTACGGACATAGGCGTGAAGTCAGGCAAATTCAGTATAAACGTAATTTGGGCAAAAATCGGGGGAAATAACTTTAAAAAGAAGACATATACAATATAGTATTTGAAAATACCAAAAATATGTAAAAGTTACATGGAATTTCGACAAATGGAAAAATATTTTCGTCGGACGCCCCCCCCCCCTGATTTTTCTTTCTGCCCCACTGATTTTTTCCCACACAGGCGTGTTCACGGATACCTGCATGTAGACAGTCGAAAACGCAACGAATTTGGGTGCGTGTGGACGCGTATTTTATCGAGTCCGCAACAAAATGTTTTTGGATTCAAACGAATCCGGATTCTGGGCCGAAACATTTGTCTCCACAGCAAGTTTTCAGAATTATATTGAACTCTACTGTTTACGGACAGGGGTAAACCGTCTATTAAGCCTTCCGCTCAAATAATCGGCTCTTCAATGACCCCGCTCTTTAGAGGAGGAAATTTATTATATTATTTACTGAAGAGACATGTATACTGAATAGATGTAATATGCTATCCTTGGAAGTTCATAGTGGTAAATATTATAATTATGAAATAATTAATCAGATGTTAGAAACACACTGTATATGGCCGGTATAATTTCAATCATGTTAGCGTCAAACGTATAAACTCTCCTTCCCACGTCAAACATGTCTGAAATAAGCAAGAAGTGAAATACTGTTCATCGTTCTAATCTCTTTGATTTGTTTCTTCATTAGAGCTCGGTTCTCTCCGTTACAAACTGAACGAGAAGCAGCAAACTACATGTTAAAAGTAATTCGTGATTCACATTTGAACGTAAGGTAAGCAAACACCTAGAGAAGTCGTGGATGTTTGATAATTTGATTCCATTGTTAATTGGTAGCGTTGAACGATATTTAAACTACCTGAAAAATATAGAAACTATTTGAACGAAGATATGATTTTGAACTGTCTGTGCCAGTCTAGGTATAGTGCTAATAATATGAACAAGCTTTCGTTGGGAGATAATTTTCAGATATATAGTTGCATTCCTACCAACGAATATACAATTACTTTATGGTTTCCGTGTTTGGATGGCATGATCCAAACAGTGGGGAATGTTGCAAGAGTTAAGAAAAGCGCGCGAAATCACGAGCCGAAGTGATTTCGCGCACTTTTCATAACTCTCGCAACATTACCGCGTGTTTGGATCAGGCCATCCAAACACGGAAACCATAAAGTAATTGTTTTATAAAATAACAACTTTCCGTATTAAAATTTCACTTTCACTTTAAATTTCCGTGTTTGGATGGCCTGATCCAAACACGGGTTTCGACCAATCAGAGCACGCGTTATGTACATGTTATTTTATAAAGCTTGTTCCTTAGATAGTAGCCAAGTTTATAGAATAGCAAAATGAATAACATCTGGCAGGGGATGGTTGTATAAAGCTGCACTGGCGCTAAACTTGGTTAAAATTTAACCCGCTGTAAAGGTTTGTGTATTTCTCCGTTTATTTCAAACCTTCATGAAAGGGAAACTCCTAGTGATCCAGACAAGATTTCTGAAGCAATATTTCCAATTTTATAAACAACAGGGTTCGTAGCGGTCTTTGAAATCCTTGAAAGTCTTTAAATTTGAATGCAGGTCTTTAAGGTCTTTGAATTGTGTGAAAAAGCGAAGAAAGTCTTTAAATTCTTTAGTGAGTATTTGATTATACGATTCCCTAGCTGAAAAAATAGATTGGTTGAAGCAAGATTTATGCAAATATCGACGAAAAGGTGCATTTTAGTAGGATGTGATTTGACTAATTACCGGGTAAAAATGGTGCTTACACTCGCAATTTTTCGACAGCTGATTACTCTCAAAGGCATAAAGGTCTTTGAAAAGTCTTTGAAAATAGGCAGAAAAAATCTTTAAAAGTCTTTGAATTTTTTTGGTCTTGGACACTACGAACCCTGAACCTAGAGTTAAGCTAACCGGATTTCCAACAGACAAGGGTCTTCGCTCTAAACGTCCAAGTATTTTCTATATCAGGTATAGTTAGATCCTTCAGCCAACTGCGAGGAACAGTGCGCATGAAAATGTTGAACACATGCACTCATCATTTAGACAGCAGGGAATAAGATCGAATTTAGCGGCATGCTATGTTTCACGTTATTAACTGACTATCAAATAAATTTTAAGCAGTAACAAAAATCCCATTGCATTTATAATGGACTATACGTACATGTATAGATTTTAGGAATGGGCAGGAAATTTCCTCCAAGGGACCACCTTGATTTGTTAGATATAAGTTTCGTTATAGTTATGCAGTGAAATTTTTGTTTAATTTGTCTTTCAGAACCAAATTGTACGACATGATCCAACTGGCGCAAAACCAGATTCCTTATTAAGTTATTCGTACGTAATTTTTGGATTCATTTTCTACAGTTGTACGGTCGCTTTGCCAGCGTGGGACGAGCGACCTATACAAGTCACGTGTGTAATTAGTTACGTGCCCACAATGCACTGAACTCAAGTGGTTGAATGTAGTTCAATTTTCATGGCATGCACACGAGGGCGGACTGACTACAGCTCGTGTTCAATGTAGTTCAAAGCGATCATAATGAAAACGACCTTTACATTCCTTAAACCTGGTTTCCATATGGTCGTAACGGTCGTAAAGATTGAGTCACGATCTTTCTCATCAGCAACCTCGTTCCCAGGAAAGATCCTGGTTACGAGGTTGTCTCGTCAGCCGAAATACAACATTTAAAAACTGAAAATACGCGGAGTGCATGATTATAATTTGAAAATACTTATGATTTATATGTGGTTTACAGATATAAACTATTATAAACTGGCCGTTGAGAAAATCTCACTCTATTAGTTTTACGACCATATGGAAACCAGACTTACAGTGCGTCTACAGTAAGTGGGGCCACTTAGAGAACACTAACCAATCACATTGCAGAACAAAAATTGAAAAAATCAACAAACGGCGCATTAGCCAATCAGCATTAGGCAAAAAACAATTTGAACAAATAAACGAATGTCAAACGGTAGAAATAGACTTGTAAAGTGAACTCTGCGGTTAATGGCTTCCTGAATCTTTCTTTTGATTGGACGAGCTTTAGTTTGATTAGATTTTTCTTTTTGTTCTGCAATATGATTGGTTAGTATTCTCTAAGTGGCCCTACTTACTGTAGACGCACTGTAACAAACTTTAGCAGTCGGATTTTTGCGGAGCTGAGACGTTCATGACGTACGGTTGGCTGCAGGTTTCTCTCAATAAATCCCTACGTTGTTGTAGGTGAGTTGTGTGCTTGATTTACACAGTACAATCCGAGTTGTAAGCAGGTTGCATGCGACAGTTTTAGGCAAAAGATGTGTTGTGTAAATTAGCCTTTATATTTTCTTATTGCACAACAACACTTGCATGAAAGAACAGAATATATTATTTTGAAAAACATAAATTATTTTTCTGACATACATACAGTACATTTCAATCCAGCTTTGCAGTGGCCATATATCAGTCGTTCCTGTGTCGTTATAAGAGAGAGTTGCATTTTATCTAAGATAACATGAATATTTCCGCTCCACAAGAAATCCGACTGCTAAATTATACCAACACAAACAATGCTTTTTAATCAGGCAGCTTCAGTGGAACGAACTGTTGGGCTGGAAATGTATAGAGCGTTTGCACATGACGTCACAGGAACACCAACATGGCCACCATGGCTTTTGTTGAGTTCGTCCCTGGGGAATGGTTGCGAACGCTCTATAGTTTAAAATATCCAGGTTCATCCCATGCATGTGTATTACGCTATTAGACATCCTATTAGAAATTATAGCAGTTGCTATTTGAAATTTGAACAGAGATATGGATAATGAAATTTAAACTCAAGACGAGTCTAAAATATGAACAGATGTAAATAATTTTAAATTTATCGTCGCCTAATACCATTTATGTGAGAAAAAAGAGTTATTAAAAGGAAATGTATTTGATCAAAATACAATGCTCGTTATCCTGATTTCAATATTTTCGAACTTTATCCACATATTTATCCTATATACATTAAATTTATATACAGCTAATTCAATTAAGGTTGTCCTTGTCTTCTGAATGTCAAGAACACCGACTTATATTATATGCGCAAAAAGCACACTGGGCGTGTTATTATTATGAGACTGTTTATGCATGCATGTTAGCACTATCAAATTGTTATGTTTAAGCATTGATAAGCATGTTCACTAACAGCTTTCTGAAAAAGTTTAAAAATCAATAAATGTAGCCGGCAGTTTTAAGGGTTGGAGTTGAGGCGCGGGCAACGAAAATTAGGGAGGCGCGGGAAGGGGAAAATGCAGGCTGCATTTTCCCCTTCCCGCGCCTCGCCTCCTCGCCTCCCTAATTTTCGTTGCCCGCGCCTCAACCCCAACCCTTAAAACCGCTGGCTACGCGCTACAATCAGAAAATATGATCATTTTATAGGTTGAACCTAATAGTCTAATCCCAAACTGAATCCTAGCTATACTATAGTCTGTTGCTTGTCAATGTTCGCAAGGCATGGATTGCATGGAATAGTATCATTAGTATGCTACTCGCGCAGCCAGCGTTTAAAAATCAAGACCCTCTTTTGCAATACAGCAAATAAAATGTTTTCCGATAGTTTGGCAAACGAACGACATAAATCAATGGGTTTACTGCAAAGTTTGTGTCAAAAATGGAAGCAAACATTTGGCTTAAAATTGTAGAGGCCAAATTGTCTCAACCTCGTACCCAGGCTCTTTCCCTAGAGCATCACAGGCAAAGAATATCACGGAAGGAACAATACAAACGAAAGCGATACATGCTATGATAATGATTGTCTTTAAAAATCGTTTTCTTTCAGTATTCTCATCCCTTGTGCTTGACATTCATTTGAGTTTTGTAAAGTATGTTCCTTGACTGTTTTTTCAGCTTGTAATATGTAGAAGCGTGTGTCACTGCGGAGAATGCAATAATGATCACATAAATAGTGTAGATGTTGATATTCTTCATCAGTTTTTTCTTACGACTATGGAAGTACAGTCTTAATCCAGAAAGTACACAGCTAACTATCGAAATTGCTGTGAGCCACAGGACTACAACTTTACCCCTGATCAAAATGCGATGTTTTATCGGATAAGCGACCATTAAGAAACGCTCAATCGATATTGAAGTTATCGATACAAGAGAGGAAAGCCTGAACCACACTACGAGAAATCCAAAAATCTGGTGCGGCCAACCTGTTATTGCCTTGCTGGTGAAAAATGGAGCGAATATACATGTGAGGCAGTCGGAAACTGACAGGTTCATTACAAGATATGTTCCTGAATTTCTGAAACATTTTAGAGGATCTTTAATAAAAGCAACAAGATGTAGTACATTGGAAGCTACTCCGAGAATAGGGATTATAATAAATGGTAGATTGCTGTACGCCTTGCTGACTGTTGTAGTGATGTTGTTCTCTGCCATACTCCTAGTTAATCAGTAAAACCACAGTGGCAACACTGCATGACACTCTACGAGTCAACTGGGACGAGGAGAATACAATCTAAATCCTTATGTATAAGTCAGCCCACAAAATGTTAATTAATGAAAAACCCAACATTGATGCTCTAACAATGGACATATCAGAAACAATATTCTTGCGATGGCACATTTTAATATTTTATGAAAATTGCTTCTGCAACTGTCTCTATCAATGTTAAAATGTCAATATTTTTTTTTTAATTATGCTGTAGCTCGAAGCTCATAATAATAATATTCTGTTTTTAGAATATTTCATATGCAGATGAAATTTTACATCACTGCATGCCATCTTTACTTACGCCACTAACCCCAAATATGATTTTTGCATTTTAGTATAAGTATACTATTTGGGTAATTCTATAAGAAGAAATTTAATATATCTTTAGAGTAAAAAAGCTCACCTTGTCAGCTTTTTTATTGTCAAATTTGCCGAATATCGTGTTTATAATAAAGTCTGTTTTAATTTAAAGTGTTTGCCATATAAACATTTTGCATTCATTACTAACTGCAAATGAAATAGGACCGCCAATGTGGGATTGCAGCAGCGGGCTGAACATCGAACAGTGGATTGAAGATCGAACTCTTCACAATCTCAAGCGACAGATAACAAAGTGTGATATGATGATTCCTTAAGTTCTCCCATAACGCGTATTTCTGTAAAATTGAAAATGTTCCTCAATCTTCTTCGTAAGGCAAATGTCCCTCGGGATCCCCAGATCACTATTGTTTCATGAAGTCAATCAGAAGACACGATCATTTTAGCTAGGTTCGGTATATTTACACCTGAATTCAAATACATGTCTAGTCAGCTGGTTGGCTTATGCATCTCTTTAGAGCCGTAGGGTCTGAATTTTTTCTACAACCTAACCCAGCCTAGTTCCTGGCCTTCTCGCTTCCGCCTCATTATTTTAGGGGGATATTGACAAGGTTTGCAGGTTGGATATTTTGTGAAACTGACAGCCCGCAAGTTCATGACAGCCTGTAACTCGCCCGCGCTTGGAAAGCCAGGGACTAGGCTGACCCTAACCCTGCAGACTTGCAGGGTAATCGGCTTCATGACGTCACAAGGCGGGACTCGATTCCCCCTTATCCTTCACCGCATCCCCAAATATCCTATATTGCAGTCTTCTCGTGCGAAAACGCACTGAAATATATAAAGTAGAATAGCCTACGTCTAGGCTGACACTAGAGAGTTTAAGTTCGACTTCCAATACCAATACCGATACCAATGTTTTCACTTCCGTTCTCATTTTGGTATCGGGAATTTTAAAGCGTTAAGTTATCACGACAGATAAAGTATACAACACATTTGTCGTCACCGAAAATGTTCGGCATATTAAACGGCAGCTGAGCTAAAATTTCGACTAAAACATGACTCAGGCGATGCTAATAAACAAATAGTTTACATGTTTATCGTAAAAATTATGAAATATCCGATTTATATGAGTTTATCTTCCAATTCCCCAGACTCCAATACAAGGCCGACTTCGGTAGTGGTGACTTCCAATACACTTGTCCTCGTGCTTCTTGCGAGCAGAGAGCATGCGCATGACATGTTGTTAGTATCGGTATTGGTATCGGAAGTCGAACTTAAACTCTCTACTAATCCCCACTAGACTACCTGTCGGAGGCAATGCGGTATAAATAAAGAATTGAATGAAAAGCTGCAAACTTGTGTGTGTACGATGCAACTACCTGAAAAATAGTACATTAATCATTATACACACATTCTTCGGCTACTCGCATCAGAATCTTCAAAAGCAAAAACGTCGTCGTTTACAGTTACTAGCTGTTAGTCCTACTAATAAAATGGCTTGTTTCTCGTAGTGAAATGCTCCCCTACCAATGCATTTTACCTGTGCCGAGGGACAATACGCAAAGCTCGATTGTAACATGTGATTACAAAGGCAATAACAAACAAACAAATTTGAGAATTAATTTATCTTCTTTCTAAGGGAGTGTTCATTATTTATATCCGGGGTTGGTACCGAAGAGAAATGGGTTGGGTAAGCCATTTTTCTGGGGTACGAAGGGTTGGGTAAATATTTTTTGAACAAAGCCTATGGTTGGGTAAATTATTTTCAATACAAACCTTCAATTGAACAAAATATGAAAATCCTTTATTTAACAAAATGGGTCATTCCAGGAATATCCATTCATTCC